AAGCAAACTATATACTTTATTTGATCTAAAATATTGATGTTTTTTCATTATAGTAGCTTGTGAAAACCATAACAAATAAGTGATTAAATGCTACAGTATTCAGCAAACACAACTGCAGAGCTGCATACATTGCAAACAGTTGTCTTTGTGTATTTTGTGAATGAAGCGCCATCTCATGGTTAAATCCTGTAATTGAACAAATGGGGAAATTGGGCAACGCCCTCTAGCAATTTGGCAACACCCCCAGCCGCTGGCATCCGCTGGGCTTTTGACTGGGACACACCCATCTGAGTCTGATCTGGAGTGCTTCATCTGTAAGTAGACATAAAAATTATGAACACCATGCTGCTATACTTACTGTTGGAGGGCTTCTAACAGGCGTCCATCGCAGTAATGATGGAGGACAGCCGCCAGGAGCTCATCCCTCTGAGAGATTAGATATAAATCTCATACCACCCATAAGGGAGAGCTCCTCCTTTCATAAATCTAGATTATTCTATATATTCTTTAGATCTATTCTAGAGTAAATATGCTATATTATGATTGAGCACATAGCTTTACACAACACAAACTGCTAAATGGATTAATACAAGTAAAAAAAGTACTTGCCTTTTGCAATTTGGCCTTGAGTCCCATGTCGCACACAAGATACAAACTAGCAGGGGTAGGTGGTAAGCCGCATCCCTGTTGAAATAATCGGTCTGACAAGAAATGCGGCGACACCAACCCCTGTAGCAGGCACACCACTGTCATTTGGCCGATGATCTTGTAGTGTCCTTTCTGTAAGGCTGAATGTGAAAAGAAAATATTACACGGTGACCATACAATGTTTTCATCCATGCAATGAGTCCTGATATTATACAAATTCACGTTAGGGAAAGCTATATCACTACAATATATTTTTCAAAGGTAAACATTTCTTTATTATAATTCATTTGACATCATTATTGCTTTGGTCCTATTTTATGCATATTCAAATTAAAGAAATTACAATGCATGACATTTACTTTCCCAACTTACCAACATTATCCAGGGCCAATGTCCTCCTCTCCTCAGGACCCTCAAAGATCAAGTAGGCCTGTATCTGCCTCATGAGGAGAGTGCAAAACTCTCTTGTGGGGCCCCCCTCATCCAATGCACCCTCTCCAACCCCCTCAATGTCTATAAAAACGACATCAATCCGGGCTTCCGGGTCGAAAGTAGTCCGAGCAAAGGCTCTAAGGGCGCAATCCAACTCTTCGCCACGAAAAACATTTATTTGATTTGCCCTTGAAGATTGTTCTTTGATTTTGGCCTGTAACCCCATTAATGTCGTTTCCAATTCGTGAACATAAGGTCTGTAAAAAGCAAATAACATAGTAATAATATTAATATTAACAGACAATAAAAGTATTTTACTTGAAGACAACAGGTGAGACCTTAAATGTCAAGTTCTATGTCTGTCATTTCGACTGTGGCAACTCCTCGTCAAAGCATAACTTGTTTACCATGTACACAGTCTACAATCTTGCCAATTGGGTGTGAAGGGGACATAAGAACTTCTTTCAAAAAACAATTCCATCTAAAAATGAAACATCCTCGCCGCTGTCACAGGATTACGACGCAAGAGTTCACATATGTCTGCCCAATCTAAATCTTCAGCGGTCTGTGTTCTACCTTCCTGTTTTAAAATAGTGTTGAGTAGATTTGCCCACCTAAGATCAGCCGAAGAGAATGAACAAAACCAGGTAGGCACACCAAGTTGACGCACACAAGCTAGGAGGTCATTCTGTGCGCGCTGCCAAAATGCTGCAGTACTCTAAGGTGAGAGACAACGAAAGCCATCATCAAATTGCAACAGTTTTCTTATGGTTTCCTAATTCAACAAATTATCTTCCATCGGTTTGGATGGAAAGCCTGCTTTGCCTTTTCACAATGCAATAGACACACTGGACAATAACTGTTGCACCTCAGACAAATACTGAGCTGCACCCACCCTCTGGAACTCACTACCCCAATCCATCAGAGATTCTTCCTCCCTCACAGCATTCAAAACATCACTCAAAACCCACCTGTTCAACACTGCATTCAACCACTGACCACCCCCTCCCCCCCTATTTTCTGTTTTGTTTATCTCTTTTTGTATTTCTTTGTTATCTATTTTTTAATTTTATTTGTGGTAACACTTTACAATAAGGTACACAAAATATGCTTAGTTACTGCTTAGTTACTGAGGAACTACTAGATAGTTAATGGTTAGTTAATGAGTAGTTCCTCAGTGACTGCGATTGAGGAACTGATGGTTAGTTACTGGTAAACAGACTGGGGGTACTGTATTAACGAATCATTCGTTAATGGTTAGTTAATGAGTAGTTCCTCAGTGAACTTATGGTTAGTTACTGGTAAACAGACGGGGGGGTACTGTATTAACGAATCATTCGTTAATGGTTACTTAATGAGGAGTTCCTGAGTGAACTAATGCTTAGTTACTGGTAAACAGACTGGGGTACTGTATTAATGAATCATTCGTTAATGGTTACTTAATGAGGAGTTCCTGAGTGAACTAATGCTTAGTTACTGGTAAACAGACTGGGGTACTGTATTAATGAATCATTCGTTAATGGTTACTTTATGAGGAGTTCCTGGGAGACTTTGATTGAAGCAATGGTCCGCTGCAGCAGGGCACATTTAAACCTGCCATCTTCGGCTGGCTTGGGTCCCACCCTGGATCAACTGGTGGAGGTGGATCCAATTTACCTTACCATTACTTAGGCCGTTTGGGTATGGTAAACTCATGGAGCGCAAACAAAAACAGTAGTTACCCATTACCTAATGATTACCTTACCGTTACTAAAACAGTAGTTACCCATTAAGTAATGCTTACCTTACCATTCGTTAAGCAGTGTGTGTCCCCTCAAGTAAAGTAATGCATGAAAAACAGTAGTTACCCATTACCTAATGCCTACTTAACCATTCGTTAAGCATTGTGTGTCCCCTCAAGTAAAGTAATGCATCAAAAACAGTAGTTACCCATTACCTAATGCCTACTTAACCATTCGTTAAGCATTGTGTGTCCCCTCAAGTAAAGTAATGCATCAAAAACAGTAGTTACCCATTACCTAATGATTACCTCACCATTAGTTAAGCAGTTTAACAAACAAACAAACACTGTTGATGACAATGACGGATCTACAGCCACTGAAGTTTTACATTTTTATTCAAACAACGATGAACATAACAACAACAACAAAAAATGGAAATAAAAAATACTTTTTGTAAAAGAAAACTAAAAACAATTGCAAACCAAAAAAACATCCATTCCTTCCTCACTTCCCCTTTGGATTAATGGATAATAGTCCTCCATTGGTCTTCAAGTCCTGGACCTTCCCCTCTAAATGTTGGTCCTTTATGGCAGCTTTACACATCTCAGTGAAACGGAGAAGGGTTTCCCCCTTCTTCAGTGTTCCCCGGATATCTTGGTAGATTCCCTGGTTCACGGCATGCAGTTCTGCAATTCCTGCAGTGTCGGCAATGGTTTTGCGGTCCACTCCTACCGCTCTGTAAGCCGCCGTTTTATTATTCCCCTTGTTTACCGCCTCAAGAACACGCTTGTAGCGGCTTATGGCGTCTTCTGGGGTCAGGACTGAAACAGAAAAAAAGACAAATATGTAACTATTTAATAACAGTACTTTGTTGTTGCCTATCCTAATGATGTCTGTAGTGCAGAAATCAGTTTGGATATGGGTTTATTTATTGATAATATTGTTGTACTAGTGTTATATAGTGGTAGTGTAATCCTTACATACAAAATTGTGTAATGAATTGGTGTAGTGTAAAGGTATTACTAGTCGTGTAGCTTTGCTCAAAGTAATGTATGTATACATGTTAGTTATTGTGTTTGGGGTGTGTACCTTTATATACAGAAGTTAGGTTTGGGCAATCAGCTCTACTTTTATCCAATCATGTTTAATAATGATAAGACGATCCACAATGTGGATTTAACGCTCTATCGACATTGCCCCGTTTCTAATTTATAACGCATCAATATTGCCAAGTTTTAGCCTGGCATCCTCATGTCTCAGCAGCCTTTAAATGGAACAGTTTGGAGAATCTGCTCTCCCTGTTCTTTTATTAAAATCTGACACTGCAGGTTAATGTAAGCGTGCAGAGACCAGTTGTTTGGCAACACTGGTGTCGCTCTGAACAGAGCGACATCACAGCATGTTCTGTTTAACATTATAGGCCTACTTATATTCAGGGATGCAAACACCCGTATGGTGAAATAAGAGAGAACTATTAGAAACAGAAAAAACAGCGTAATATACCATCTGACAAAGGCCTGCGCTATAATGCGTCAATTAACTAACTGGCTATTCTTTATAATATACGGATAGGAGACAGAGATGTTATACTCTTAAAAATGCTGGGTTATTTCTATAAACACATTGTTGGGTTGATTTGGCTGGGTCATAATTATGGGTTATTTGGGTACTGTAAACACACTGGTGGGTTGTTCATGCTGGGTCAAAGGGGTTATTAGGGCTTCAATTGCAGTTGAACACCCGCCTGGGTTATTTTTAACCCAGAGGTTGCTTTATTCATTTTCCCACTTCTGAATCATTCTGGAATCATCTTTTTCAAAACACAAGGTATGTAACCTATATTTTACCTATATTTATATAATTATACAATTCTGTAACCTATATTTTTTTAATGAGTTGTGATAACAGTTCAATAGGGATCTTTAGGCATTTAACAGACTGTGCAAAGTATAACATTAGCAGTTAACATCGGCTACAAATGTTTTACATTTCTGTCAATGAGTGAAAGAGCCTTGAATTTACGTTGTGATGCTATGAATTATTATTTTACAAAGACGTGTGTTCTACTAGTAGCTATAAATGGGTCTGAACTATAGCTTTGGATTTGTGTGCAAAAGTATTAGATGTACAATAAGGCAGTATAAATCAGATGGCTTTTATGTCACAACTCTCTTTCCCAGCATGCAGCTCGGGCGCGGGCTTTCACACACACGGACAGACAGACGACAAAGAAGCTCATTGATGTAGGTAAGTTTAGGTTACTAGAGTTATTTATTAATTACATTAATCATTAAAGTTAGCAACTTTTGAAGTTATTTTTAGGAGTGAGTGACCGGAGTCACCGAACCACATAATGTAACATTTTAGTTCCCTGCCATCGACGTGTTACCATAGGTTAGCTTAGCTTAGCATAGCACACCAACCAGCTAGCTAGCTAGGTCGTGTCAGGGGCAAATAATAATAATTCGTGAATGATTAAAATGTCTTCATGGAGAGATTTGGCAGACCCCCTGTAGTAACTGTACATTAGTAGCTTGGTACCTTACAATAAATGTTAAAACATTGCACAGTTTTGTGAAATTCTAATGTACTTAATCTCATTTGATTCTAGTAGAGGGTTTCACCATGGACACGTTTGTCACAGAGACGTTGACTGCATGGCAGCTTGAGAACTTGATTGACACATTTAAAGGTAAGTTAATTTTTATTGAGACAATGTTGAGATGTTACTATTAAATATTTTGTTATATATTAAAAAGAGCAAGGTAGGGCTGCAACAAACAACTAATTTGATAATCGATTAATCTATCGATTAATGAAACGATTAATCGACTATTCGGACTATTACTGTATGCTTTGCACAATTTTTCAAACGCTCTTATTTAGCCATCAACTTTTAGATGTAGCTTGAGCTTGTTTTAGGCATGTGAAAACTAACAAGACAATAAAGATGAATACTTGATTCAAAAATACATATATTATTAAATTAACTAAACACATTTTGAACAAAATTAACATTGCTTTTAATTTAAATTAAATAAATAATATTTCACATCAAAAGAAACAACAGTGTTTTAACAAATGGTATTAAATAATGTGATGACAGAACTGTAAACAGAATAGGTGAAACTTTAACAAACTAAATAACTCAGTTTCCTCTAATAAATAAAATAGCTTTTGAAAATATGTGCATCTTAAAGTGCTTAATTTTAGATAAATAAAATAAAGTGTAGCAGCAGCTTGAGTTTCTCTTTTTCTTTGTTAACCGTTTCACATCAGGACTTAACAGTTTCAGCCGATTATAGAACAATATCAGTCTTTACATCATAACAATAGAACAGTTTTAAAGTTTCTTTTTCTTTCCCTCTTATATTGCAGTCCCTCACTCACTTTTTTTAAATTCAGTGCTAGAATTGAGCTGGAGCTTGTCCTGCCAGGAGTTTGTAAATCTGGGCTGAAATGGAGTCAGGGCCATTCTCATACACATGCAGGTGCTCATTGGTTACAGTGATGCAAACACAGGTATGGTGAAAAAAGAGAGAACTATTCGAAGCAGGAAAAAAACAGCGTAATATACCATCTGACAAAGGCCTGCGCTATAATGCTTCAATTAACTGCTATTCTTTATAATATACTCAGATCAATAGGAGACAGAGATGTTAAGTTATAAATCAAGGGCTTTTATTATTATTTACAGCAGGGGTGGGGAACCTTTTTCCTTTCAATTTTTACAACATCCTCCGAGGGCCGTACAAATGATTGAACTCAACCTCTGCTTAAAAAAACTAAAATCACAGCCCATTCATTTGGCCTTTCTTTCAGCTGTGCAAAGAAAAAGCAACCAATCCAAATGTATTTAGTATCCTATCCATGTGAACATGATTTAAGTGGGGGGGGACCTCACCTCCTCTAGGGGGGTCCGGGGGCATGTTCCCCCGGGAAGATTTTTTTTTTAAATATTGAAGTTAAAAGCATCAATCTGGCCTACATCTGGTCCCACAATTATAACCACATTTACAATCTTTATGATTTTCATTTTTGAATTTCAGACCAGGAAGTTGATGAGGAAAGTTTCCGCCTGCTGGATGCCATTGCCTCGCTAATACCGAAAATTGGACACCGTGTCAAATTCCAGAAATGTCACAAGGAACTTGTGAGTAAAGGGTTTGTTTTTATCTGAAGTGGCAGATAAGTTTTCTTCTCTGCTCCATCCACTTATTTGTTTCACACCTTTCCTTGCCCTTTAAGAAGTGTCAGCTACAGTAGTTAATGATGGCATATACATGCTTCCGCTGCAGACAAGTGATACCCGGTGAAGCTAAGGGTCTGTTTGTTCATTTGAGGGCAGTGCATGGCATGAATAGTGCTTCAACATTCTGGCAGTGCCACGAACATGGTTGCAGGCGTTCTTTTGGGTATGTGCGGTCTTTCAGAAGACACCTTGTGCAGCATTATGTCCCAGACCATTATCATGGCACTGAACAGCATTCCAGGGGGGCCTCAAGAGCATCCATTTCAGTTCCCATGAATGTAGACAATTCTGATCTTGTAGAGGTCCAAAATGAACATGATGGTTACTGGGATGACTTGGAACCAGAAACCATAACCGAGCGAATAGCTCTGTTTTTGGCAACCCTTAAGGCTAAATCGGCACAGACCTACAGTACAGTACGTTTTGTTGTGCAACAAACATCTAGTTTGGTTTCGGACATTGTCAGTTCACTCCAGAGGAAGACAATGTATCTGTTTGAGAAATGTGGTCATAGTGATGAACCCGGGGTAAAGGAACTGGCCCATGATTTTGAGGCAGCAGCTAATCCATTCGAAGGGTTTGAATCAGAATTCAAACAGATGCAGTATTTTGTCAAGTCAGGCAACTTCATTGACCCTGTAGAGGAGGCGTTCACTGGAGAGTCCTTTGTGCAGAGAAGGGCCTCTGCTACTGGGACAGTTAGACAGGTTTTACTGCAAGATACGTTTTATCGTGTCCCCCTGAAACCTCTCTTGCTTAAAGTGCTTGAGATCCCTGGCATTTTGGATGCCATCTTTGCCTAACAGCAAAGAGAAGATGGAGTCCTTTCAGACTTCTATGATGGGGAATACTGTAAGCAGCATCCTCTCTTCTCCAGGGAAGTGTCTGTTCCACTTCTGTTGTACAACGATGACTGTGAAACAGTCAACCCACTGGGATCAAAAGTTGCAGTGCACAAGTTGGGGTTCATTTACTTGGTCATCAAGAGTTTGCCCCCAGCGTTTTTATCAAAACTCTCATCACACTTTCTGGTGGCAGTTTACAAAGTGGATGATGCCAAAACCTATGGGATTGATAGTGTTCTGCGCCCAGTCATAGAGGAACTGAAGGATCTTGAGGTCAATGGGATCTCTCTCGACACACCTCACTTTAAGGGTGAAATTAGATTTTCAGTTGCCCAGTTGTGTGGGGACAATCTCGGCTTGAATGCCATTCTTGGATTTACTGAGTGATTCTCCAGTAATTATTTTTGTCGCCTCTGCAAGGCACACAAGACCACAACAAAGACACAGACAAAAGAGGATGCATCCCTGATCAGAAATGAGGCAAATTATACTGCAGATGTTAGTCATAATAGCCTGTCAGATACTGGTGTCAAGAGAGACAGTATTCTGAATAATTTATCCAACTTTAATGTGACACACAACAAGGTTTTGGATATTATGCATGACTTGTTAGAAGGGGTAGGTCCATTTGAACTGAAGTTGGTTCTCGCCTCCTTGATTGAGGACAAACACCTTACCCTTGACACGCTCAACTTCAGAATCACCAGTTTTGATTATGGCTTTTCTGATGTCAAGAACAAGCCAACTGTGATTGGGAAGCAGGAACTTAGAATTCCAGAAAGGGCAATGCGTCAGTCTGCATCCCAAACATGGTGTCTTCTCAGGCATGTTCCGTGTATGATTGGGGACCTCATACCGGAAGAGAATAAACACTGGGAGCTCTTGCTCCTCCTTCTGGAATGCATGGAAATTGTTTTCTCTCCATCTCTGACACCAGAAGTTACCGTTTATTTAGCCGCCATCATTGAAGAGCACCACTCTCTGTTCCTTGAGCTGTACCCCCACAAGCACCTTATTCCAAAGCATCACTTAATGGTGCACTATCCAGATGCAATACTGAAGTTGGGACCACTGATTCAGTTCTGGGCAATGCGTTTTGAAGCGAAACATGCCTTTTTTAAACGCATCTGCCACATCACCTGCAACTTCAGAAATATTTGCAAGACAATGGCATTTAGGCATCAGATGACTCTGTGCTACTCCCTCCTCGCTGGTGATGTATTCAAACCGGAAACTGAAATTGGTCCAGGTCACAGCACCCTGCTGGCTGTAATGGATGGTTTTGGTGAGGTACAAAGTGGTCTTGAAGATATCCCACCCTTTACTGAAACCTTTTTGCCAACTTGGGTAAAGGTTAATGGTACACAATACAGACCTGGCGTGACAGTATTTCTGTCTTACGCTGCTGATGGAGACCCCCAGTTTGGCCTAGTGAAAAATATTCTAGTCTTGGATCACTCAGTCAAGCTTGTTGTCCAAAAGTGGGATACAGTAGGATTTGATAGGCATTTGTTTGCCTATGGTGTTGAGGCAACCACTAATGTGTTTGCTGTTGATCAGAGTTACCTCCAGGACTATCACGGTCTCCATGCAGTGAAGTCCTACAGAGATGATGACAATTACTCATACGTTTCACTTAGATACAGAGTATTTTAACCACTGCATCCAAATTCTGGGGGGGGGGGGGGATATTTGCCAAAAAAAGCAACACAAAGCATTGAGAGCTTGTAGATTGGCTATTGGCTGCAAAGATATTTGGTGTAGAGAGAAATTAGAAATGATCTCCGCTAGGCCAGATTGGCTTAGCCTGGCATTGCCAGACTGATCACGTGGGATCACTAACAAGTTCTTCCACGGTAGGAACTTAAAAGTAAATTAGAGTCAACTGGAATGGAATATGATAAATCTGAATGATACATCTTGATCACATGGCTGCAGAGATGTGTACCATTTGTATGAGTTTTGTTCAAAATCTGTAGAAGTAGCAGCAAAAAGTGTGTTTTGGAGAAAATGCACACTGGTGGAAAATATAGTCCAGCACAAATGGTCATGACTTATATGGGGAGTTGAGTCATGAGCCTGTACGACCAAGGGTTCAAGAGTTATAGGCCAAAACATGGAAGTGGGCTGTTGCCACCATGAGGCGATTTGAAAAGTGTGGGGCAGAGGTTTTTCCTTAGCCTACTGGGAGTGTGCGTGCAAAGTTTCACACTTATCGGTCCAGCTGTGCTGATGATTAGCTGCTCACATATGGGTAGGATTGATTTAGGACATTTGTGATGGCATTGCCTGATCCCGTCTCTGTAAATACAGTTGACAGAATTCTGAAGTTGACCGTTCTATCATCTATATGGTTTAAGAAGTCTTTGGAATCATCCCTTAACCGATTCTCTACAGACTGCCATTGCCACTAACGCACCAAGTTTTGCAGTGGGTTCTCCAAGTTCTGTAGACACTTCAATGGAGGAATCCACATCAAGTAATCTCCTGACTGAGACTTTGAACCTGCAACCATCATTTGTAAGTATTGACTAAAGAAATCCAAGTGAAAATGCAATCCTAATGATACTGAATTTTAATTTATTCAACGATTTGTTAATTTAACATGTATTTACACAATTGTCAAGTTATTTGATGAGATGTTTTGTACTAAAACATACTCCTAGGTTCACTTGCTGTTTTTGTGTTCGTGGGTTGTGTGTGTTTAGTTTCTACTCCCTCCTGTTGTGACTGACTGACAGTGTGACTTGAGTTCTGTCTTTTCTCTCATCTTTCTTTTCTCTTTCTGCGGACTGCGCCCCTGGCCAGAGTAATAACTGGCACTACAAATCCTGAACCAACGAACCTAAACCTTTGAGGGAAAAATGTCCTCCCAAAGTTTTGTCAGTTTTTCATTGTGATTCATTCTATGTTTTATAGGCAATTCGCCAGATTCTTCAAGGCACTACTCAGGGGAAAGAAATAGTACAGAGTTTAGAAGAAAAGCGCTCCATCATCAGCAAGCAGAGAAAGCAACTTGTAAGACTACTTGTATCTCACCTGCTGGAAACCAATGGTGAAACGTGAGTGAGCCGCATATGAATTATTCTGTGAACATACACTTTCAAACAGATGAGATAAGAAATGTCAGTAAAGTAAATGTACGATGTTGCTGTCCAACACTGGCTATCACACACCTTCAACAACAACCGAGGAGTGCATGCGGTGAACAGCAGAACTCAAATGCACTTTAAAAGCGCATCACAATTCAGTGTTTAATTCATGGATTTGAATCGTCATATATTTGTAACAATGATTACTGTCTCATCTCATCGTTCTTTGACAAACTTCTACTGTCTATTTTAACAGGCCATCCACAGACACAAAGAAAGCCCTTGCCGTGGCATTGGTGTAGGAATTCCCTTGCCTTTTGGATGGTACAGGCAGTGGCTATGTAAGTTAATCAATCAACACATAAAGGAGAACACTCCATACACACACACCTAAAAGAAATGTGCTCAAACGTTTTTCCTAGTGCACAGTCACACGCACATTTTTGGATTGCTCCTTAAAATCCCATGTAACCATCTTCATGGTTTACGCCAGGCCAATTTAATCTGAATCTAATTTTCTCTTTTACAGGGAGCTTGGTACCCACCTGGCCGAAATCACAAACCTGCTACAGGTTTCCTGGAGGAGCGCTTGAGGAACGTCAGGAAGCGCATGAGAATGCTGAAACGACCACGCCACCAAGAACAACAGAAGGAACAGACCGTCCCTAGTACACCAGGTAAGACTAATAACCAATATTAATTATCCCCGCCAGGCTAGAATAGACAAATGCAAGGGCCCATCGATTCTATTGGTTCTGATGGTTAAGAAAAAGGTGTAAATCACACGAATCGACCAATGGGTTCCAGAGATATGGTCCTGCGTAAATTATAAAGAATGCCAGCCAGCTTAAGTACATTACGCAGCCGACTTCATTTATTGTTTACAACGTAACGAAGCAGGAAATGCAGCAGGACCCAGAGCGCACAGAGCACAGAGCGGACAGCAGATAACGGAATTGCAGTTGTATTGCTTATAGATTATCAGAACATTTCAAAGGGGACACAGCCCCATTGGATATTAATCTATGGATTAACTACATCATCGTTTTTATCGTTTTAATGCCATTGAAGACCAGTTTAGACCAGACAACGAGGAAGGTAAGTCATTGTTAGCCTAGCGCCATTTGTTTTGATGTACGTTTTTGTTGATAACGTCGCAAGTTTGTATCTTTCAGTGTTGGGCTGTTCAGGTGGGCACCGTTAGATTCTGTGTCTCCTTGCGATCATAAACAATGTGTTGGATGTGCAGCTAGGATAAGTAATAAGGGAGCGAGGAGTGATTTTCGGTGCTGTAATAGGTTAGCATTTTTCGCTCAGGGCTAATTCAGAGGCTCACTGTAAGAGTAGGCCTATGTTTTATTATTTATTTTTTTTCACAACAGTTGTATTTGGATGGAATGACAATTGGATGGTATTTTAGGTATAAATCACACCGATTTATTCCCCGTACAGTTTGTCCAGCTTTTATAATGTGATGTTTATTTCAACAGGCTAGTGGACCTCGAATGATGAAACACAGATCGTGAAGAGCCCTTTATCCCACGTTAGCTTTTCAAATTAAGTTTACAGACAAAGGGAAACACTCTCCCTCGATTTAACATATAACTGACCTCTGGCTTTTAGCTTTCACAGCCTTGGTCTGTTATTTAACCCCAGTTTTAAACGGCGACCCGATCTAAAAATATCGTGTTTCCAGGTTTTGTCGTGCAGGAATCAACCTCGCAACCCAAACAAACTGCACCGTCTCCCACGCCACTCAGGAATAAACTACCTGCAGATCCGCGCCAAACTGCTCTATTTACATTACGCAGGGACTTTCCGTCTACCCTGGCGATCAAACGTTTATGTTTTGTATATAACTTTCCTAACATAGTAAAATATGCATTGTATATTCCATTTAAACTTTAAAAAACACTGTGAAACGGCCTACAGACAATCCTAAAGTTTTAGCGTATCCAATTACAGACAGTCGAATTTCATAACAGGCGCCTGCGTACCTTATTTGTAGAGTTCGTGCAGGGCCCTGCCGATTGTCTGAGATGTTTGAAAGCGTTTATTCCCGACCCATTCTGGTCGTCTGGATTCTTCCTCAGCTTCGTTATATCTGGCACGTCGAGGGTCACCACTTGTTAGAGATTTAAAGGATATCTGGTCCGCTTTTCAAATCTCCGCGTGTCCCTATCAAGCTGGTTATAATACAGGAAGGAATCCAGAGCTACCAAGTAACCGTTAAACAATAATCTACTTTAATGGTAATATGACAATGCAATACAATCATTACAATACAACATAATATATTACAATTATATTGTAATGTTTAAGGAGTATGCCGGCCCACTCCTGCCCTGGTTCGCGTGCTGCGGAGATCCTTCCGGTCCTGGCAGCATGTGAAGAGAGACCGAACGTCAGGGATCTCCAGGAGATATACCAGAATAAGAAGGAGGGGTTAGGGGTTAGGTCAGCTGGTCATCTTTTCAGGTCATCTCATTGGGAGACGCAACGCTGGCCAGCAGAAAACCAAACAGGCTCACTTTCCAACAAAAGGTCTCAAGGCCTGCATACCTACACCTCCCCCACAGAGCAATAAAACCCTGTTTACTCCAACCAGCCCAGAATGTTTATAGCCATTTTTAGTCCTTACATTTATGAAAGGATAAAACAGAGAAATCAATATAAAACACAAACACAGGTATTGTTTGAACAGTATTCACTTAACTGCTACTATTGATAACCACCAGAGAAACCCAAGGGACCTCTCTTAATATCTATCTGGAATTTGCAACAAGACTTTCTGCCATTTCAAATGTAACACACTTCTTAAATATCAGATGATAATACTCTACAAGGCCTAGGTAATGTTCATAGGATTTCATAATTACACTTCACACACTTTTCTAGTAATTATTTCATAAGCAGCTTTATAGGTTGCTTGCTTATTAATATGTGTTTTTTTTATAGTGGTTTATAGTGGTTGCAGTGGTTTTATAGCTCATCCCCCAAGTCAAAAGGACAGATAACAAGGCATGTACACCGGCAGCATAAATAAGTTTACAGTGAACGTACCATTGTTATCAGAGTCCTCGGCATCCGCGGCGTAACTGCGGCTAGTATCCGCCTTAGCAGCCCCGGCATCGGCAGTGGAGCTCAGGCTCCCCTCATCAGGCGACTTATCCACCTCTTCCTCCGCATAGGACTCGACCACATCTACGGGGCTCACTATGGGTCTTGTGTTTAAGATACTGTCGAGATCCTCATACCAAATAAATGTCTCTTTGATACTTGGGGAGCTGCCGCTCTTCTGCAGCGCGTCGCGCACTTTTATGTATTGTTGTCGTAGTTTCTTCACCTTTATACGACACTGTTCAACACTCCGGTTAAATCCTAGTTGCTTCAGTCTGTCGCTAAAGATTTTGAACACCTCCGCGTTTTTAAGAACCTTCTCCAGCAGTTGAGAAATGTTCTCCTCTGCCCAGATATCCAGAAGGCATCTCTGTTCCTCATAGCTCCACGTTTGTCCCCTGCCGCTCATTTTCCCACCATTTGCAATCCTCTCCTCCACAACAAGAAATGACGCGCAAATACTACGCTATGTTTTGGTGCGGATTGCGTTCACACCAGCAATGAACCGCTCCAGAGTTCGCAAGAAAGCTTTCCGAGACCACCTATTTTAGCGGACCAGAGTCCGGTTGTTTAGTTCACTTAAGAGGTCTCGGACTGCGTTCACACCGACCCAAATGAACCGCACCAAGCGGCCAAACGCACCAGGGTTCGATTCAACCGGACTATACAAGGCAGGTGTGAACGCACCCTTAAAGTTTTAGTTTAAAATAGAGATACTTTTTAAATATTGTTCTATAATGATTAAATGTCAGTGAATAACAAAATGTTTAATTATATAACTTTTACATCTCATTTAAAAAAGGTGGTTGCTAACTTGATCAGTGGCATACTGTGACAATAACTGGGACTTCAGCTCAGCCACACTTAGCAGACAGACCAAAAAAGTGTCAACACGGCAAAATATTTAGCTATGGATAAACGGCATACTGTGACAACAGCAGCTGGCTATGGAGTGCAACTGTTGCATGAAATGACGGCAACCACCACACAATTACATTACAATTATAAATATATTAATTTAGAGTTTGTCTTTAACTGTGTGAGACTACTACTGATACTCTCATGGAGCACTAGATAATTGTCTGTTTGGAAGCTGCTTTAATATATTAATGTGAGTCAAAAGTACACATATATTCCTGCTTACATGATGTAGTGGGACATCCTGATATTTTTAAGTTGAAAGTGCAATATCCAAATTGCAAGAAGCTGCAATTATTATTTTTCAGCTAAATTTGAGAATACAAAATTATTTCCTTTTTCTTCAGTAAAATCTGGACTTTCACTCACTCTAATCAATTAGTGGCAGCCATCTGTAATTTAGGTTACTTTGAAAAAAACAAATGGTGACAGCACTTAATTGTCTAAAGCTAACTGTGAGTGACGTGCACTGATACATTTTTGAGGAAATATAATCTATCTAACAATCTATGTAAGCACTGAAAGCATCTGAAGCAGAAATACAGAACTTATTTATCTATGTCATTGTATGCCAACCTGAACAATCTTTGAATTGCAGTTCTGCAAAACTGACAAGACGAAATGCAAAACATGGTGGACATTTCCTCGCGATAGGACTCGGAATGGTGAAACCAATTTGTGTCCACACCTGTAATAAGAAAGTATAAAACAATAAGCCTAAGGTTTAATTTAGCAAGCTTATTGAAATTGAATTTGTAAAATACAATATTTCTTACTCAATATCCACAAAAAGTGTGCCTTTTTCCGGAAAGCGTCCTGGCTGACGGTATTTCTTACTTTCCAACAAACCAGAGAAAGCGTCAAATATGCCATGTCTCCAGCGTCAAGAACTACCTCCAAAAGAATGCTCTGCAGCAATTCTTGCGGTAGCTATGGACATATTTTTTCAAGAACCAGGTTAACAACAGAACTGAATTTCAAAACAAATATTTGTGTATATTTATATATTGATATGCTCCTTCTTCATAACCAACCAAGAGAAGTGGTTATCTTAAGAATCCAGCAACATGTCTTTCTTGTGTCCACCATATTTTTTGGGCGCTCAGCTCTTTTATTGAATCCAACCACTTAAAAACACAAAAACAACCAGAAGATGATGCAGGGCTGGCTAAACTTTACTCTAGTTATGGTTGGGCTGATGGACAATGACATCGTGCATCAGCCATGTATGACAGCCATCGCCGTTGGATACCTGACCATCAT